TCAACACTAGTTTAGAAGTCAAGTCCTTTGCATAGAGGAGCAATCAGCATTTTAATTGGCAATTTCAGGGTTTTTTCCCCTTAAATTTATCAATTCTATTTTATTTCTACAGTTGTTTGTTCCTTCCTCTTTTTTGCATGGAAATTAATCATGCAGGAAATGATTAACCACAGTGAGCTGTCTGTCTGCCTCTGACTCAATATGTTTAAGAGGGAGGGCCTTCAAGCAGCTCTTAATGGCTGACCAGATGCAAACTGTGCACTTGCAGTCTAATTGTTCAAACTCTCCATCCCACATTAAAGGTCACATTCCTTTTTAGCATTTGTAATGCTCCTAAAATAATTTCTGAAACAACAAATTAAATCTGAAATACCCAGAATTTCTGTTTCATGTAATTCAGTGTAGTGACAGTTTTGCTCATTGCTCTTCATATATTACTCTGTGGAGCAAGGGGCTCTTTGCAGTATGCAATGTATGCCTTCTCTCTCGTCCATTTTAGTTTTTAAACGAAATTAGTTTTTATCATTATATATTGCATATCACAATATTTTTATATCGTTCCTGATAGCGACTGCCGGGTGTGCCCGGTAGTTTGCAAAAATGAGAGCTTTCTTATGCAGGTATTCTTTTACTTAGGCAGCTTTGGAGCATCTCGTTTGCCGGCGGCTGGGCTGGCTTTCTCCAAAGGCAGCAGACGTGGGCTCTGTGCACAGCCCTCTCGAGAAGGGTGTGCAGGGAGGCTGCCCCGGCCCCGGGGCTGTGTCCTGGGCGGTGCAGAGCGGGTGTAGGGATGCGGTGGGTGCCTGCTCACGGCGATAGCAGAGCCCAGGGCGACCGGGGCTGGCTCTCGGAGGAACCGGCCGTGTGCACGGTGCTGCTGGCGCCTGCTGCGCAGTGGGAGAGCAGCTGCTGCCGCTGCTGCCAGCTGTGGAAATCCTTCTGTCTTGCTGACAATACAGACCTTTGTGTTTGGGGCTCCGTGGCCAATGCTGCAGTGTACGTGTGCGGGTTAGTTACCGGAATCCTTTCTGCTGCACCACCGGTGCTCATCTAGACATAACATTTACATGCAGCTCTTAAAAGCAGTGATGGCTTACATTGCGGCCTAGAAATTATGCTAGGACACGTATCCTGGGTTTTCAAGTATCAATACACCTTCAGTCTTTTGCAACTGGTTCCTTTTTAACACCCTGCAACACCGAGTGTTATGATCAACTTGGTTGTTAACAGATTTGATGGGTAAAATTTATTATTGGGTGGATCAGTTACTATATCAGGTATTTTATAGTGTCAACTGTTAACAATTGAACATAATGTCCATTTCTTAAATTCAGCTCTTTCCCGCTGACCAAGAGCAAATAATGATCTGAGTGTATTGCTGAAGCGTAGGACAGTAACCAAAGCTTTTCTCTAATTGCAGTTACACTTAACATCTTAGGACATCTCCATGCTCCTGGGAATTAGTGATGAACAAAGCAGCTGCAGAATTCAAGTTCAGCATTGTGCTGACTCAGCTGCTTTGGTTCTGCAGCCCAAGAGGTATTTCTCATCCCCCTGTGCTGTGGGGGCAAGTCAGCAGGTCACTGCATCTCTTCAGAACATTATTATTCTTCCTACAGGCTTATAGTGATCGAATTTTAAAATCCAAAGGGCCTTTTTTTTTTTTTGCTTACAATAAGTCAGACAAAAAATTAGATTGTACAGAATCTAACCAAATAGCAAGGGTGAGTTGGAGCTTCAAAGACAGAGGTGCCGTTTCTTTCTGTGAAGTTTCAGCTTGAGTTTCCGAAATTCTCTTTTTTATCAGCAGAAGCAGAGTCAGAGTGACAAAAGTAAGAGTGGTGTTGTAACTCTGGTTTTAAACTAAAATTTGACAATATGGGGTGTTTTACCGGTTCTGTAAGTGTATGCAGTATACATTTTTGCATGGGCATGCAGGTTTCTGAGTCAAAGCATGTGTTCTCTTTTCTGATGGCCCCTAAAGGAAGTGTGTGTTCTAGAACATCATGAGTAAACATGATGTTTACTGCAGGATGCTTGTATTAAACTTCAGTCCAGTTCTGCCTGAGTTTATCTTATTATAGAAGCTTGTCCTGTGCTTCCAAAATACCATTTTCCAGCCTACCTTTGAGGGCCACAGGGCTTGTTCAGCAGTAGCTAAATGCTAAGCTCACCATTGTGCAGCTGTGTGTACCTAATTTTCACTTCAATTCTGTTGAAAAAGCCCTTCAGTATCAGAATTACTAGCTACTGTGCAGCTAGTGACTGTGGGTACATGTAAGATGGGATAGGGAAGGAGGGAATACCTAGTGCCTTTCTCCCCATTACCTCCTTGCAAATTGTCTGTGCAGGGAGGGTTTTGGAGAAGCCGGATGTGTCTGTGGGTAGTGGCTTCCCCTTAGAGAACTCAGGCTTCAAGCATCACCTTTCTTCCCCTCTATCCCCACCAATTCCTTAAGAAGCTGATCTAAAACAACAAGTTAAAAGGACATAGAAGTAGAGCAGAGCAGCCCAAGCATGCAGGAAGCAATCTCTTAACTGACAGGGAGGTAAACAAGTTATGGTATTTTACAGAAAGTGCTTCGTAGACCACCTGGCTCACTTGCTGCATTCAGGTCTGAGCTGCCTTAAGGGATTCATTTAAAAGTCTGATATCAAACCAAACTGTATTCTGCCTGTTCCAGAAACCTTCCTGTGACACATGGCGTGCCAAGGAGACCCAGTACATTATCCAGACTGCTTTGGCCTCTTAGCAAAGCAGTGCAGAGAGCAGACTTTCTCTTTTTAATCAGTTGAAGTAGTTAAAAGCTTGGTGAAATACCCTCATGGCACAGTTAAGCTAGAGACAACTGCAGCTGTGAAAAGACTGTGTTAAGAAACAGGATGGTTGTGGTCTGCTGTAAGAAATAATTTTCCTGTTGACTATTTTTTTAAACAGGAAGCTGAAGAACAAAGCAGCATTAGTCTTGGTGCTTTTAATAGGCTTCAGATTTCAAATATTGGATTTAGAATGTGCAGATCAGGAAAGGATCGGGCTTTGTGCAGTCTTATGTAACAACTGAGAGCTAGAAATGCAGAAGATAGGAATATAACTGAATTCAAGCAGATCCTCCGAATGTGAAACTTGTTTCTCTGGAAAAGCCCTAAGATGCTCAGTAACGCACCAGAGGACTGACGAGAGCAGGCTGGTCTGTTTGCAGGACTTTGCGAATGCGTGCATTTGCACAGTGTGTAGGCTTGGCTTCACACAGTTTCCTCTTTGTCAGTCAGTCTGTCCATGGGCCAGCTTCCCCTCTGCTCTGCTCACTCTTTTGCAGTAACCGGAAAGAGAAACAGTTTCTGCAGTATGGGAGAAGAAAACCTGCAAACACTAGAGACAGTACTTAGTGCCTCATGCCACTTTGAACTCCATGGTTTTTCTAGATATTCAGCCAGAGCTAGGGGTGATGAGTCTGACTCCTTTCCAAGCCCTTTCCTCTCTAAAGATTTTACATAAAATCTATTAAAGTCTTATTTCAGAAAAGCTTTCTTCTGAGGAAGGTAGGTCAGCAATTTTTTTTTTTTGGGGGGGGGGGTTGTAGCTGTATTCTAATTCTTTTGGAGCATGAACATCTGATGAGATAAATCTGTACTTTCTGTACCATTTTTTTCTGTCACACACATCACAGATCGTGTTGGAGCCATTAGAGACATTGTAGGTCGTGACTCACCTCAAACCCTCACTGCAAATGCCATTTTGTTTCATTCAGCAATTTTTCCCAATGTTCATTTAAACTGTAAAGGGTACTGTACCTAGCATAATGTTGATTTGACAGATACTATGCTGTTACACTTCCCCCTGTTTTCAAGCTGTGTATTCTTGTAAATAACTGCCCTGAGGACTTCAGCTGTCAACCTGGGGTTGTCTGGAGAATAACCCGTATTCCTATTCCCACTGTGTTTGCCTGTTGTGTGCAAACGTTATATAAATGGTGGCAAATCATTGTTACTGAAGCTGGCTCAGGTGGATGGGCCAGCAGAAGGTGAAAGCTCAGGTGAAAGAGTAAAGCACACGCTGAAATGCCACAGCACCATTAGAAAAGCCCCAACAGGTACAGTTCCAGCGAGCTGGGTGCCAAAATGCCACAAAAAGACCTTGTGACTTAAAAAGTCTTTGACACTTGGCCTTTCTTTTTTTTTGTTGTTGTTTTGTATTTTTGTTTCAATGAAGTTCTACATCCCAGGTGTAACCCTCCTCGGATTGTCTTAGGTTGAAAGTTTTGGTTGGAGTGTGGAAAAGCGGGAGCCTGGTCTCCAGTAGCGAATATAGTGAAAGGCTGAGCTTTAGCAGTCAGGCTTTTCCCTTTGCAGCAGCCTGCAGCTGAGAGGCTGGGCTGCCTACTTGCTCTTCCTCCTCAGGGAAAATGCACATAGCATGACTGTGTGCTGCCTCTGAGGAGGAGGAAAGTGCATTCAGATGTGATGATGGAGCATGGAATTTTCAGAGCAAGCAGGGAGAAAGGAAGAAGCATGAGTCTGTCCTAGAGTTCTGCTGTTCCACCCTACCCATAACAGCATATGTGTGAATCTTTTAGCAATGAAGGGATTTAACAGGTCAGCATCTGACTTTCTGAGTAAGATCTTAAAGTATGATATCTTCTTGAAGCAAGGGTTGATGATGTAGCTATGGAACTATCCTGAAGCACTTCCATAGGAAGAAGATTGTTGGATTAAAAGAGTACAATTTTGTTACTGCATTTTTTGCATTGTGTAAGTGTGCAAAACTGGATGTGTATGTCTATGAGTTTATATGGCAATGGGGCTTATGTAGGGAGCCCCTCTTTAAAGATGCAGCTGGTTTCCATACAATTAAATATGAACTGCTTTTTATGTATTATTTAGACTTAGAAAATGTAGAAGATAAACCTATTAGCTGCAAGGATGTTTTTTAGGTGAGTAGAACTTTATTTATTAAGATGTGTTAATCTTTGAGTCTTGTGTGTTTGTGTTTTGCTGTGCAGGTTTCTTAGCAAGAGCAGACAGAGCTCAGCCTTCCACCATGCCTGTGCCTCCCCCTCCAGCTCCCCCGCCACCCCCAACACTAGCCTTGGTAAGTTTTACAGGAGGTAAATGTACCATATGCACTGTTCTCTACTGCTGCTTGTCACATTGAATAGGATGTCCAGAGACAGGGAGGTGTGGATGAGGGTATGCATTGACATTTGGGGAAAGCTCTCCAACATTTTGGTTTTGGTTGATTATTAATCCTGTGAGGAAGACCATCACTTTCACTCCTTCCCAGTGCTCATTTGGATGTCACTGTCTACTCTGATTCTCCATCCTTCTCTCCCTCCCACACTGGTGGTTTGATCTGGTGGAGAGACAACAGCTTGTCTAAGTCAGGGAAATTGAAGTCTTGGTATCCCCTTGACTTTCTCCAAACATGTACTCCCACCTGCTACTCTAGTACTTACATGACCTGAGCTGGAAAAAATCAATCCTATTGTTTAAATTCGGTAAGGATAGTTCTTAGCTAGCACAGCTCCCTCAGCCAACTTGGGGTATCAGAGCACAGGATCCACTACTGACACAGTGGGTGAAACTACATTGGACCTGATTTAATTTTAAGCCTAAGCTGAAATAGATTTTGTGCTATGTTTGCCTGCCCAACAGTCAGTCATCTCACTGACAAGAAGGAAAAGGCTTCTTGAAATGCCGTTTTAAAGTACTCAGATATTTTCAGAGCAAACCCCGAGCTGGTTACACGGATAGACTCTTCAGAGGCACAGCCCATTCTTTCTCTCATTTTCCACCCCAAGTATGACTCTCTGCTTGGTCCCTCCATGGCAACTCTCTCTACCTTTCAGGAAATCTCTGTAACACTGATCTGATAAGCTGGAAAGTTTTTCAGAAACCACTATTTCCTATAAGAGGCATATATATGTGCATATGTATGTGCATGTATGTGTATGGTTTGCGGTTTTTTTGTTATTCCTTGAAAAACTGTGTCAACAAAACATAAACTGAAAAGAGAGGACCATTGAGACAAACCTAAAGGTTTCATTTGATCTAGATGAAGAGGTCTATATATGGAAGTAGCGATTGCCATTTTTAAATACTCCTAACAAAACTAAAACAGTAGATAAAGGCCCATCTTTCTTCCGATTTATCTAGAATTTGTATTTCGCTACAACTTTCAAGAATGCTCATTTTCTTGTGTAATCAGATTATGTATGTAATTTGCCATAGATATGCCTTGGCTTTAAAAAATCAGAAACTCTGAATCTTGAGTTTAAAGAATGTGAATTCACATGGAAGTATTCAGTTTCTGGTGATTAGTGTGGGTTAGAATAGTAGCAGTGTTTGGAGCCTTGAGTCAGTCACAAGGCCAACTACCTTTAACATCATTCACAAAAATAGACATGGCATGCTACCCACTCCAGTGCTGTTCAAACTGAAACTGGAGTCTCAAGTAACTACCATATTTGAACAGAACTTTTATCTAGAAGTTGAGGTTTATTTTGCCTCCTCATTTTTAATTTTATTTTGCAGGCAAATACGGAAAAGCCATCTCTAAGCAGGTCAGAACAAGCAGGGAGAAATGCTCTATTATCTGATATTACCAAAGGAAAAAAGCTCAAGAAGACTGTTACTAATGACAGAAGTGCCCCAATTTTAGACAGTAAGTATGATTCTATATGTTGTAGTATCTATAGGTGTGAATGGTTCTACACATCTGAATGCAGAAAATTATCATCAGATGAACTGTAGGTAAAATAAAGTACCAGTAGTGGCACGCATAAAAGTAAATTCTGTTCATCATGGATGAATAGTCAGCTGAGAAATCAAGTACTGCTTATGAAATGTGAATGTTAATTTGTTTGCTTATCCTCATATAGCAGTTTATTTTCTTGTTTGCTTATATTGGAAAACTATGCAAGCCCTACTAGGAGCTCTGCTGAGGAGCTGCAGCAGATCAGGCAAGCAAAACCCCCATCAGGACTGAGGAGAGCACAGAGAATAAATTGGAATTTCAGACTGTACTTTTGCATAAACAATATAAGAATAAATGCGTGTCTGGCATGACACCATTGGCTCTTTAATGGCCCCAGTACCACTTAAAGCAGAACCACAGCCACAAGGCACAACTCCACCTGTGTGTCACTCTGCACGCAGTTTTACCATTCCTGGAGTGACTCAGGGGTGTTGTCTTTTTGGCTGAGCCTTGTTGCCCAGCCTGCCCACCAGTACTGTGGCACAAGGCAGTGCCTCCACTTCCTTGAATGGAATCAAGGTCTCCATCCATCTGTGCTGCTGCTGTGTCTCACAGAACATCTTGGTAGGTGCTGAGAGGAGGCTGGAAAAGCCCATGAAGCAAAAATATTGGGAAGACAGACCAGAAACAGGAGAAGTGTGAGGAGAACACAGTCCTGCTCTGACAGAGGAACATGATTTATTGCCTAAGGAGAGAAGACACTTCTACAGACTGATTAGCAAATGTGGTACACCTCAGTTTAGGTTTGGCCATGCAGTTAAAGGCTGGATTGTGTTAGGAAGATGATGAGGAAAGCAGGAAATGCCGAGAGGAGTATGACCAAATAAAAATAATTTAAAAAAATAGATGCAGTCCTGCAATCAGCCAGCTACAGTTTTTAAACCCTTATTATCTCTGAATGTGAAGTTGCACATTCTAGCTATTGTAATGAGCTGGAGGGGATTAAAGGAGGGGGTAAACAGTAAGATAAAAATTATGCAGCCTATTATCTTGTTTACATGAATTAACAAATCATGATGAAAGACTTAACCATAGTAGCAGCATTTCTCCAGAGGTTCACACCCTGTGTGAATCAGAGCCAAACTGAGCTGACGTGCTTGAGAAGGATAATGTGAAACATGCGTCCATGGACACACTCTTCTTCCTTTTTTCTTGGGGGGATTTTTAGAAGTGCTTTTGATCCACAAGTTTTAGTTACCGTAAAGTCAGTGAAATTATTGCCAACCCAAAGTTGTGGAAATCAAGATTCCAAGAGATGAAGCCATTGATCCTTGTCCATGTAGCCCATCATCTGAGAACTGATCTCGACAGATATCCCAACCTGTGGGCCTGCTCGTTTGGCAGTGATGCTCTGAATAGGGCTCTTCTCTGTACTGGTAGTTGTGGAAACACTTTCATTTTACTTTTGGCAACTCAGTGTTGTCACAGCAGAAATACTGACATTAGAGAGAAAGAAGAGAGAAAGGGGGGGGAGCTGATAAAATAATTCCTGCCTATTGGAAACATTAACAGCTAATGATCTCGTCACTGCATTTCCGAATCTACAGAAAAGTAATCAGAAATGGGATCTCTTTCCCTACTAAGCTTTGTTTAGATAAACAGAGATGTTGCAACACCATCAATAATGAGAGGTGTGTTCCCAGAAGAGATCACCAGACACACCTTCAAGAGGAAGGACCCTCTGTCTTCCTCCTTCCTTCCTTATTTTCCATGAGATTGCCCTGTTTCTGCTTATGGAGAAGTGGAGGGCAAGGATAAGAGAACAGAAGTACAAAGAAACAGAAGGAAGCTACTAAGATGATAACAAAGACAACATGATATTCTAGAGGTCCCATCCATGCTCAATTCCAAATTTTCCACAGCAATTTTATCTGCTTTCTAGTCCAGAGCAGACTAAAGGAAATTGATGGCTTAATAAAACACAGGGGCTATGGTTATCACACCACCTCTGCCACAGTGCAATAGTGCTGGTGATGGCAGCTGTGATGATCCAAACTCTGTGTATTTTGAAAGCTCATCCATTTTGCACCAGCTGCAAGCATTGCTCTAATGGAAGAGATGACTTTTCAGGATCAGTCTTGCTTCACTAACATGGAGGATTTTTTTTTCCAACAGAACCCAAAGGACCTGGTGGAGGTGGCGGCGGTGGCTTTGGAGGAGGTGGTGGTGGCAGTGGTGGGGGTTTTGGTGGTGGCAGTGGTGGCGGCTTCAGTAGCAGTGGACCACCAGGCCTTGGAGGCCTTTTTCAAGCAGGAATGCCAAAGCTCAGATCTGCTGCAAGTCGGGATGCCGGTAAGAGAGATCTTGCAGTTCCAGTGTGAAAAAATAAATTATATTGCTTAAAACCTTCATATTACCTACTGGGATTGAAAAAGCCATCAAATATCTTAGACTCTTAGGAAATATAATTTTCAGCTTGAATCTTGTTTTATTTTACTATTAGGTTTTATGAGGGAGAGGTGGGACTCCCTTTCCACCCATCCTCTTAGTTATTGATGAAAACTAAAGATCTTGGCAGTGCTGAATTGCTGCTTGCAAAGTACAGTCAGGCAGACTAGGTCCTGGAGCCTCAGCTATTGGTGTGCAGGACCAGAGGGGAACATAGGAGGATCCAGGCTAATTTTCTTGTGCACCAGGAAAAAGGATCTGTTTTCCAAATGGAAAGTACATCTGCATCAGCTCTACAACAGCGTGATTTGCCGCTTGGGGAGCACACGAGGCATCCCAGCTGGCTGGTACACACACTGCAGTTGGAGGCTTGTCTGGGGCAGGCACTGTACTTCTGGCTGACAAAACAGCTGCCCAGAGCCTCATGCCCTTTGAAAAGGAGGACATCTGGGGCCAGTGAGTTTTGAAACTTTAAGGAAAGAGGATTTCATGCTTGTTGAAGGACTGTGCAATGGGGGTTGTAGGGTGTTACAAACATTACATATTTTATAGCCTAACAAAATTTTTCAGCACACGTACAAAACAGGCTCTCGGACCTGGTATTTTCTATTGTGTCACAGTCTATTTTGGGAACTTGTATTAACACAAAAGTTCCTGGCATCACAGAACAGTACTTCTTCAACTGCAGGGCCTGCTGCCATCTTCCTGATGCACACAACTACATCCTTAGATAACAGCTACTAGAAAGGGCTGTTGTTAAAGATCATTTAAAAGCTAACATTTCTTTGCTCTCAGGTTGATGGTATCCAATACTTGTTTTTTACCATTTCTTCCCTCCCTGTGTCATTGCTTGCTGTGATGGCTGCATCACTCGTGTTACTTTCCGGACACTGAAGTCGTCCCTCATAAGCAATAATCGGGCTGTAACCTGCTATTGGAATGGTTCCCCAGTGCTGCCGGGGTTGGTGCTGAGCCCCAGGGCTGGTGTGCCCCGTGCCGGGCTGCTCCCCAGCCGCTCACAGTGCCTCGGGACACGGCCAGTGTGGCACCGCAGTGCCGCTCCGACGGCGCTCATGCCCCTGTCCTGTGTCCGCAGACTCCGGGGGAGGCCGCCCGCCCGTCCTGCCGCCCGGAGGCCGCTCCGCCGCCGCCAAGCCGTTCTCGCCGCCGAGCGGCCCGCCGCGCTTCCCGGGGCCGCCGTCGGGGCCAAGGACCGCCGCCCCCGACCCGCAGAGGAGCCGCCTGCCGCCGCCCAGACCCGACGCCGGCTCCAAGCCCGAGGCGGCGCCGCCGCCGGTGCCCAGCACGCCCCGGCCCATCGCCTCCAGCCTGCACAACCGGGGGTCGCCGCCGGTGCCGGGCGTGACCCGGCAGCCCAGCCTGGGGCCCTCGCCCCCGCCGTTCCCGGGCAGCCGGGGCGCGGGGTCGGCCGGTCCGCTGCGGCAGCCCGGCCCCGGCGCGACGCCCCCGTTCTCGGGCCGGCCGCCGCTGCCGCCCACCCCGGGCCGGCCGGCGGAGGACAAGCCGCCGCCGCCGCCGCCCCCCGCCGGGCACCGGCCGTCCGCCGCCCGGGACGGGCCGCTGCCCCCGCCGCCGCCGCAGAACAGCAAACCGCCCGTGCCCGCCGCCCCCCGGCCCGCCCTCGGCGCCCCGGCGCCCCCGCCGCCGCCCCCCAGCCGGCCGGGGCCGCCCCCCGTCCCGCCCGCCCCCGCCGGCGGCGACGAGATGCCGCGGCTGCCGCAGAGGAACATCTCGCTGGGGTCGTGCCCGGCGCCCGGCGGGGGCCGCTCCGGACCGCTGCCCCCGCCGCCCAGCGAGAGGCCGCCGCCGCCCGTCAGGGACCCGCCCGGCCGCTCAGGTAGGGAGGAACGGGTGGGCGCGGGGGACTGGGCGAGGGTTCTTGGGCCATGCACGCACCGGCTTCACATGGGTGACAAATACATGCCAGGATGGCACCCGTGTGAGGCACTAAGGATTCTGCAGTTGGAAGAGAGGGTTTATGGGCATCACGATGGCTTAAGGAAAGTCACAGTCCATCACCAGCATACTCACGTGTACTTTTGCAGATCTTGGTAACTTTCATTATAATTACTGTAATTGAAAAGGGTTGCCAATGGGATTTCCCCATTAGAGTTTTTGATGCAGAGAAGGTGTTTTACCTGGCTTCTGGTGGGTGACAGCATTTGCCTTCCTGAGTCAACCAGTGAGTTAATGGTGGCATTCTCATGAATGGAGGTTTGTGAAACCTGACCTTCTACGTGTTGGGAGGCACAAACATAGCCAAATACAAATTATTTTAATAAAAGACCTAGCCAACAGTTGTTAAATATAATAGCAGTTGTTACAGTGTGAATAAATTGTTACTTACCATATGTAGATATCAAATTTGAAAGTAGAAATGTCTCCTTTGAGTTATTTCATAATATACTTTGTCCTCTGTGACAACTATTGTTCATAACTTTTAAGAATTGCGCATCATAGCTCTGTAATACCTGATGGTTCTCCCATTTGAGATGAGAGAATTTAGTCACAGCCAGGCCCTGCAACATCATGAGGCGAAAAGCATTGCCCAGAAGATAATGCTGTGAAGCTCAGTAGAGTTGCCTTTCATTTCATCCTTTGGAATAGAAGTTTGAAATCATCTCAAACCAGTCCTAGACAATAGAAACGAATGTCATGGGAGCTCCCACTGGTGACAGCCACCTGTGTTACTTTCCAGCTCCTTGAACCAGCCTGGATCTGCAGTAGCACAGCACCTGCCGCAGCTGTGCAGCCTACAGAAAATACTGGCCCCGAAACCATACTTTGTGGAGCTGGTTGCCAGCCCAAAGAATGGCATAATGCTAGTGCAGCCTGCAGTAAATAAATCAGAGAAATCCTGACACAATTGACTGGGAGGATGGAAAGTTGCAGAGAATGTCTGCAATTCCAAGAGCTTGTTCCATGATGGCCTCAGCTTCCACTAGTGCTTTCCTGGTTGACTCTTTCCTGAAGCAAGTGGTTTTAGCAAACCTGCACTATCTTTCTGTTGGCTTATTAAGTAGAAGGAAGTTGTAGCAATAAGTTATAAACATAAATACAGCTATTTTGCAGTAGTTCGATATAGATGATGGAGTTTAGCTAGGTTTAGAGAGAGAGCAAACAAAACCATTCTGAAAGTTGCTAAATGCTTCTCATTCTTAGAAGCCACTCCCTGAAGGCAAACTTGAGTAATATATAAAATAAGAAGGGGGGGGGGGAAATCCACAGAGTATAGCATGTTTCTTGAAAGATGTTTCAGTGCTTGTTGGTGGAGACACAGTATTTGTTGCTCTCTTTTTCAAAATGCATGTCTGTAGATAGGTTTCATCAGGACAGGGGAGCATTCCATAAAAATGAACATAATTGTCAGTTGCCCAACTACGCTAAATAGAAGTAGTGAGGCTTTGAACACGCATAGCCCTCCACACCCTCTGCTTCACCTCCTTGTATCCTAACCATGGATACCTCTCTCCTTGGCAGCAGCCGCTTTCTTGTCTTTATTTACTTTTCTTATATCAGCACCCTTCCCCTGCCCTCAGGATAGCCCTGGTCCTGTATTACGTGGGCTGTGCCTTTGTATTTGACCTGTCATGTCACTGTGCCAGTTACACAGATACACAAACACTGGAAATGCCAGTCTATGTGTGAGGTCTGTTTCCAGTTTAGAGGGAGATGGATATGCTCCAACTACCGAAAAACTTGTCATGCAGCTCATTTGTTTATAAATAAGTGAGCTGATGTGATGCAGCTTAATGCTGCCATTCCTGGGCTGAACTCCCTGTGTGCCACCACAGATCCAGGCTGTGACCCAGAGGGGACCACCCCTATGGACAAAGAACCTCTGAGGGTAGCAGATGTCATCTTCTACATGTTCTCTTGCCTTGGACCTCCACAACACCCTGAATTCCAGCTGTAACTTCTGCTTGTTGTGACCATTGCTAAGTTAGAGTGGTTTAAAAGTAGCTTCAAGGACCATCACTTCTACAGAGACCTCTGTAGCTGAGAGTAATGGACACTGTGGTGTATTTGTGTTTAGATATACCCTGCTCCCCTGAGCTGCACTCTTCAAATCAGCACTAACTCCCTAGGGAGCCCTGGAGAGCAGGGAAGTGGGTGCCGAAGGCCATTACCACTTGGGGCCAAGGGCCCTAAGACAGCCCTTCCTCTCTGTTCTGTTAGTGGGAGGGCTTGGGATGCAGGCATCCCAACAGAATAACCCCTGCTGCTAACAGCATTTGTTTGCTTGTCTCTTGTCTTGCTCTAGGCCCCCTCCCACCACCTCCTCCCATAAGCAGGAATGGAAGCACTTCAAGGGCTTTGCCTGCTACTCCCCAGCTGCCTTCCCGGGCAGGGCTGGACAGCCCAAGAGGTGGACCCCGACCTCCGCTTCCCCCAGACCGACCGGGTTCGGCAGCACCACCGCCGCCACCACCACCTTCATCAGCTATCAGAAATGGCTTCCAGGATCCCAGCGATGGTAAGCCATCCTCCCAGTTGTTTGCCTTTGATAGAAACAGTGTACTATTTTGACCTTAATGTGTCAAAAAAGGTTTGGGATAGAGACTTTGTTTCTGGTGCTGACCTTTGATTTCTGACCAACAGAAGTATCACTGGGATCTCAATCAAGTAAGTATTGAGTAAATATGCCATACATAGAGCAGAACTGCAAAGTCATCAATACAGTCTCCAAAATAACTCTTTCAAAAATACCCTAAAAAACGAAGGGGATTGTTTCAACTCTACTATGAGTTCAAACCATAGCTACACTGACATTTTGGATGTCAGAACAAGTTAGATGACTCAAAACTGAAAGCTGAAAAACAGATGAGTGAAGAGATTGTCAGAATGTTGCTGAAAATGTCAAGTATCTATTTCTGCTAGTGTTTATTGAAAAGATGAGGTCCAAGACTGCCGTGTTTTAAAGATTCATCATGCTTTTCTTTTTAATTGTTTTCTATTTGCATAGAACAGATAAATCCTTCAGCTAATTACAGGAGGACAAAATTGGTATTTCTGACATTTATAAGGTTAAAAAAAGCAAACAGAAAATAAAACTGTAAGTCACGCTTTTGAAACATCTTCACACATCAGATAAGGCAGGTGGGTCACAGATGCATTTTTTCCTACACAAGTCATTTGCAGGGTTCAGAACCTGCAGCTCTTTTCCACACTGATTTCTGATTGCAACCATTGGGAGTAGACATAGAAAAACTGGATCCCAGCAAATAACCACATGTACTAATGCCAGGTGAAACTTACTCAGCTGTTCATTACGTTATGCAATAAAATATAACAATATTGCAAGAAAGTTGTGGTTACAAAGTCCTGGAGCAAGCAAGTGAAGAAGTTACAAAGTTTAGGATAGCCCACACTTTCTTCCTTTGGCCTTCAAATTCAGGTTCAGAACAGAGCTCTTTGAACATTTCCTAGTATTTCAATGAAGAAACTTATCAGCTTGCTTTATTCCTTAGAATCCTATAGACTCAGGAACTACAGCAACAGGGCCTGTGTAGTCTAAAGAGAATTGCAACTTCTGTATTTTTCTATTTTTGACACTAGTTACATATAGGATTCTCTGTCATAAATTTTATCAAAATGCCCCCAAATTTTCTTTTTCCAGTATAAATATTAAGAAAGAAAAAACACTGCTTATAGGAGATGTTTTTGAGCTCTGTATATCAATGATATATGAGTATCAGAAAATTTTATACCAGCAACAAAATACTGTTCTGAAGTAGAAGACACTACGTAGTTCTGGTAGCACATATATATGTATGTGTGTGTGTCTGTGTATGTTAAAAGCAGATCTATTATACGTGGAAGGGAGCGTAAAACTTATTTCACTTATTAGGGGAATTATGGCAGTTTTCCTGATCTGCCATTTTGCATTAAACTGTCTAACTGATCAGTTACAGTAAATAAGAATTTTCATTCTCAAACTAACCTAAAGCATCTTCTTCTCTGACTTGCTAACAGAATGCTGGTTCAAAACTCAGCTATGTAAGCATTTTACAATATAAAACATCCATTAAACGTGATATTAATGTCAATTGACTTTCCTAAGCTGTGTCAGAAAACTAATGGGTAAATTGCATGGATTTTTTTCAGATGAATGGGAAAGCAGATTTTCTTTTCATCCTCTATCTGATTTGCCACCTCCAGAGCCATATGTGCCCATGAACAGAAGTTATCCCAGTAAACTAGCAAGAAATGAAAGTAGAGGTAAGTTTATTTCACCTCTGCTGTTGGAATTTCAATGTATTATCCTAAAAACAATGTGGATGGGAAATAGACTGGATTCTGAGGTTTCAAGACTTCTCAGACTAACAATCTGGTCACCCTTCCTCACCACACAGGAAAAGCTAAATGCAGGTTTGCAGGCACAAACCCTCTTAAACTTGTATTTGAGGGGAGAATTGTTTGTCTTCTCAGTTGAAACATGTAGTGTAAGCGACCAGCCCTGCCATTATAGTCAGCTCTTCTGCTATAGGCAGCCAGAACCACAAAATCCCCTAGGACTTCCTCCTCATTTCCTATCTAAATTTATGCACAACTCATTTATTCTTGTGTCAGCATCATCCCTGAGTTTAGTTTTCCTCCCTTCTTGTGTGTTAAACCCTTAGTATTTTTCAAGACAACAGTCATATCCTCCTCTCTGTTTTTGTTTTGCTGGGCTGGTTAAATCTGGATGTACTATACTTTGCTTCCAAGCTATGTTCTCTGATTATCAGGGCTGCTTATGTATATATTTCAGTTTGATTTTGTCTTTTCCAATCAGAATGACATGCTGTTTCAGTTCAGGTTTCAAATACGTCTTCTACAGCAGCACAAATGTTTCCTGTCTTCATTAGTGGTATTTTGCCCGATACACCCAAGGATCACTTTACTTCTTTCGCAACCAATGACATTGGTGGCCCATAGTTATCCTGGAATCATCTGTACACTCAGATGTTTCTCTCTTGTTTCCAAATTGTGAGGTTTTGGTTTGAAGCAGAAATTCCTCTTAGTCTCTGACCCTTCACTATGGCCTGTTAGCTTTCATCCCATTTTTATTACTCCACAAAGAGAGGCAAAGTAACATATGCATTTTTTTGTTTTCTTTCATGAGTGTGCAATGAAAATCTTCATATCGGGAAAAACATTAAGAGCTTTGAAATGTTATTGTGTTTAGAGCTTGCCACTTTTCATTGAAATTTGCATGTGTGGCAAATAGCACTGAGAAGGTATGTGTTTGCATAAATCAGTAAAGCTAGCAAGAACTGTCAATATGTTTTAGGAAAGAGGAAAAGGACTGCAATATATGTGCTTTCCAGGCATTTGGGGATAACATTAGTTAAAAACTTCGTTTTACAGTGTTTTAAGTTCTGATGTTGTTTAATAAACTAACTAGAAACTCAACAAAGATTTTTTTTTTTTTTTAGTGGCCAGGCAAGGAAAGTAGTAGGTTTCCACCAGTTACTGAATTAATTGCTTAGATGTAAACTCCCCCTTCAAAAGAAGGAGTATTCCAGAAGGAGTAACACAAAAAAACTTTCTTTCTCTTTTAGGTGGCTCTGTCCGAAAAGAAAGAGGTGCCCCCCCGCTCCCACCTATACCAAGGTGAAATGGGTTCTGGCCCATCTTTGGGCAACATCTGTTTTCAAGTTTCCTTCGAGTCAGTTCTCCTGTCCACATCATTGGAAAGTTGTCTGTCTTGATTTATTTCCACTTTTGGCTTGTCAGCTGGAACTACTTCAGTCTCTATTACAGAAGTAATAGATGCGGCTTAGGAACTGTAGTTGCTCAAAGCTATGAATTTTATTTGCTTATACTGCAGGCATTTTGTGGACCATACACAATATACATGCACCGTGCTCACTGTGTCCAACCCTGTCCCCTGGAGAGCTCCACGGGAGGTCTGGCTTTGAATGTGATAGAGCTTGAACAAAGCTGTTTCATTCACTTTGGGTACAGTGGCTGTATTATTTGAATCATGAAGTATTTTATGTTTAAAAAAACAGTTGCTGGGGAAAAATGTGTAACCAAGAGGCCCTTGGATCCTTTTTTGCATGCCTAACTTGGCCCATCTGCTTCTGGAGGCCATAGACCTACTACATGGTGACCAAGAGTTCATCCTTAACTTTTTCACTTCAGCTTAGTCACGGAAATCTTAAACAATACGTAGCACATCTTGCCTCAAGGATGGAGTGTATCTGGCCTTGTTTTCATCTGCAGAGAATCTTCCAAAGAAAAGCACAAGTGAAGAATTCATCAGCATAAAATCTATCTATATATATTTTTTTTAATCCCTCTTTCCTAGTTTTAATAGTGTTATGCTTCCAATGACCAAATTCTTTCCTACTCTGATGTGGACCAACCCAGGGTCATCCATGCCCTGGATTACTGTAATACCCTCTGCCTGATGCTGCATGCGAAGAGTCCTCAGAAAGTAGTCTTGGTGCAAATGCAGCAATTATTGTCATTGCAGGCTCCTCCTTTAAAGCATCGCTAATACCAGTGCTCCACAGATTACTTTCCAGTTATTTCTTTGGTACAATTAAACGATGGGTTTTGACTTAAAAAGCTTCCTGGGACTTAAGTCACAACTCTCAGAGAGCTTGTATTTGACTTGCATTACAGCAGAGCAGCTGAGGTCAAAAATGTGAAGGCCCTTTGGTGTAGTGAAGGGGGCCTGGGGTTTGTGCACTCAAGTGGAAGCATCCAAAATTTGCTGTCTGCACTGGTTCAAGAGAAATGGGAAGATATGGTCTTCTGAGTTTGCCATGAAGCCTGTCCTTTCAAACTTTGCTGAGAGGATTCTCCACAGAAAGCAGCAATGCTTACATTAGTAGAAAAGAGAGTGAGGTATTCTAACATTGTGACAAGTGGTTAATATGTTAAATGGCTTTTGCATTTTTATATGAGGAATTGTATGACTGAATTTTACAAGTGGATCTAAACACGTGTAAAATGCTTTTGGAAATTAGAGGAAGATTATAATTCTGGATTTGAAATATTGCTGAATGAAATATTGCTCTTTGTTAATTGGACCTCCGAAGGTTAGCTCTGAAAAATTTCACCTAAGTCTCAGTATGTTTCTTCAAAGTGCTCTTGGGATCCCTACCAAGCCTATGTCAGCAGCCATTTTTCACTGGGTGTTGCTCAAAAAAACCTAAACCCCATAAAAACTAGTCATGTAGGTTAAGAAAATGTTTCTCTAGCATGGGAGACATGATCCTAAGTACATTCTGCAGCTAGAATGAGGTCAATCCTTAAAAAATTAGAGAATTTAGTCAGAGAGTCTGGACCCCACTGCATTGTCTGTGCATAGGGCTTTTTGCTCTTTTTGTGAGTGTCGAGGGGCAGATCCCCTTTCTGCCTGACAGCCTGGACAGGCACATTGAAGGGGATGAGACAGAGCTGGATTTGGCCAGATCAAATTTAATTTGTTCTTTCCAGTGTTTGTTTACAAAATCTTTTTAGCTGTGATAGAGTTTGATTGTGTACCTGTTTTTTACATTTTTATATCTAATGACCAAGTTACTGTTTATGGTCCTGAACCTGCAGTTAAATGCGCAGGCGCAGGGATGTATCTACATCTAATTGCAGGATCGTGGCTGTAAGAGTTTCTTAAACAGATACTAGTGGGACCTCCATGTGACAGGTGCACCTTGGGATCAAACCTAGCGCAATATTGAATTTGTATATGTATTTTATGGATGTCACTTAAACAAAGTGCCTGTCTCTTTGGGAGATTATTATGTGAATAGAAGTCCAAATAAGATTTTTAGGATAATAACTTAAAGGATAAATTATTGTATTCATGTTTTTAAACTGAAGCACTTAAACCTTTCTAAGAGACAACGTTTTGAATTTAAGAATATAATATTTTCAGTACCTTGACCTGCCAAATCTTTATTAATATCCAAATAGCTATGCAGCCAAAAAAATCCCTCAACCCTCCAGAAACTGTACCTTTTTTGAAACTTACCTGCTTCCAACATGTTTTACTTTAATAAGTCAATGAAAATGCTGCCCATTGTTCTGCCAACTCTCTGTTTCATTCAAATATATTATATTTGATCTTTTCAGCAAGGTTTTCCGACCAGAAATCTGGACCACTACCAAAGTGGTAAACTAGCTTTAGTTTCACTTTAAAATGTGCTATGTAAAAGGCCCTCAGTTAACAAGCCAAGAAACCTGACCTGCCTACATTTTAGCGATTCTTTTAACTCTACAGATCTCTTCAGAATGGATGTTTGGCATACATGTAAAATAGCTTAACACTGCAGAAAGAGGCATTTTTCTTCACCTTTTCCATTTATATCTTCTGCTATAAATGTCCCTAGATATATTCCAGAACAATGCAGCATTTTATCATTCAATATATTGCTTCATATATCAGTAGCTATTTACAATATGATCAGTATTAAAGTATTTATTTCACTATGAAGTGTTAAAAAAGAATAATACGAAACAGATTGAATCAATGGTGCCTTATGACTTTTTTAGTCAACTTTTCTGTGTCTCACTAGAAAAATGAACAGACGTTGCTCTTCCAAGTCCTCACGTAAATAGTGCCGACAGGAGCACTCTGCAGCGTTTGAGCCAAGCACTGCTGTTACGTGCCCAATCGGCTCACCTCAGGTGGAGCTCAGTGAGTAGGTGAGGTGTATGTGGGCACTGGTTAGCTTCACAATCAGTTATTGGTATTGCTCTGAAATTTAACTCTTTCACAAAACCAGTGTCTGAGGCTGCTGTCCACACAGCCCAGCTGACTTCAGCGTGGTTGCATAGGTTATTACAGGACTAAATTTGATTCACTGCTTGCATATAAGATTTGCTGGGTTTGTTTCAATGGCCTTGCGTTATAAACCTTCACACCTCAAACTCTCTTCTTACATTATCACTAAGACTCACACTGTGTTACAATGGCCACGGATGTTCATTTTTGTTTAATTCAGCTCAGTAAATAAAATGAGAATAACTTCTATACCACGTGAAAATAATTTTTCCTCTATGTTTTTAGAAGAAAAGCGTATGTTATGTTTGTTATGACTTTCTGCACCAACCACTGGGTGAAGAGGTGACAGTGATTAATGTTCAGAGTTGTTAAAGGAAACTGAGCTTGTGATTCAGGAAGCATATATTTCTGTAAATGAAATAAATAAGGTTGCAAAGTTCCTGTTTAGAAGCCAGCATTTCCCAACACTAAAAGAATCATAAGAATTAATTTTTTTCTGCAAGACTGAACTGTTAAAGTAGTTCCTTAAATTGCCACTTAAAAAACTGGACAGTAGTTACTCCCTCCAGCAACAACTGTTTACATGACTCTTATAGATCTGCCTTGGAACAGAGAATGAACTAAACTGCTATCATGCTTTACATATATTGTAACAACAATTTCCTGTGCAGAAGTATGGAAATAGAAAGGGTACTTTTTGCCTTGGAAGCAAAGAATGAAGTTGAATGATCAAACTGAGATTATTTCAAGCAGAATGTCAAATGTTGGGAGACCTAGAGAGGGCCCCTCAGCCACAGGACACTGGAAAAGAGAAGATTGGTCAAAGAAATAAAAAAACGATTGGCTGAATGTTGTTATCAATACTAGAGTAAAAATTACAATATAAAATGCGCATTATGTAGTACCACATTGCGACAGCGTGAACACCCTGGTCTCGCAGTCAGGTGCAAACAACTTGTTATGGCGGTACATTGACTCTGTGTAACATATATTGTATGAACTTTAATCTTTCAAACAGTATCCACCAGAAAATAAGGAGAATCTCTCACCTAAGCTATCCAGAAGCACATTAAGTTAAGTTCATGGAATGGTTCTTCATGTATATTGGGAGAAAACGGGGATCTCGTAGCCTGTAAGATGGATGTGACTGGACCATTCAGTTAAAATGTAAACCTGGAACATTGGCAAAAAGGGGAGTGTTGGAGTAACTCAGCCAGAAGCAGGGCACATGTGTATGGTCTCAGTGAGTGAGTATGCAGCAGGTAGGTATGCAGACTAAAAGAGAAAAATGGAAACCGCATGTCTTACAAAAGGGAGTAGCCCTTCAATATGCTGCCATTTTGAAATACAGTTTGTCTGTGATAAATGTTCTTTAGTGTAAACTAATGCATGCAGAGGAAGACATCTAAGTTTGGACTTCCAAAGCCACACAAGAGAAAGAAGCATAAAACATAGGCTGAGCAGAAAGTAACATGTTTTTATCAGATGCTTAAAGTTTGAGCTTTTTATAAAATATTAATCTAGTTCTGTGAATTTTTTTTGCTTAACATTTATTTTGTAAGTGATTTTGTTCTCCCTGTTTTTCTGTTCTATACCAAATAAATTTTACTTTTATTATAATTGGTGGTGCAGACTGTTACACTGAGAATAACCAGTTGCTTCTTTGAAAAAAGCACACATTGGCTTTAGCAGGAGCATAACAGTGAGCCTGGCAGGAGCTGGGTTGAGCTGTTCTCCTCCCCTTCTGCCTGCCATTGCATAGCAATAATGCTCAGAGGACTTTGGTCCTACATACAATGAAGATTAGACACCTGCAGATGAGGAGAAATAAAGAGTTTACTTTAGGATAAAGAATCAAAAATCAGTGGTCAGTGATGCTGTACTTCTGGGTGGCTGTTGGGTGAGCTGTGGGCATTGGCTCTTGGCCAGGCAAGCTAAGCACTTGCCATGGGGAGATGACATGGAAAATCACTCTAGTTAAGTGTAGATTTTTGTTCGTCATGTTTCCACTCACTAGGCAGAAAGCTGCCAGAGAATGTCAAACAAATGGAACCCTCCTTTTGACTTTGGAGACCTGTTCTTGATCGTGGATGTTAACCTTTTCAGATAATTTGGACCATGTTCATCAGAGAAAGGCCCTTTGATACAAAAATCCAAAGAAGGCTCAAATTCAGGCTGCACATGCAGCTTCTCTGCAGAAATTAGAAATGTCATTTAAAACCCTGAGCTAAAAAGCTCTGTGCTGTAATGCATCTATCTTGCGAAGACTGAAGCATCAGGCTTACTCTTACGCAGGTGGTGGATCCCTTGAAATCTCTGGGGACTGCTTGTTGATATGTTCATTTTGCAGACTGACTGAGACAGAGACAATTTTCTTAGAAGGCCACCATCACTCATGTAGCCCAGAAGCCCAGCGGTCCCGGTGCCTGAGCTGTATAAATAGAGAAACCATGATGGAGGGCAGAGGGTGAGCTGTAAAGGGGCTGGCTCAGCAGGCTGAGACCTTTGTTTGCAGATCTCAGTGGCTGTAGCCTTGAACGAGAACACAGAGGTACGTAACGATCAGGTCGTAGGACTGTTTTCCAAAGGAAATATGGTTCTTTTTGTTTCTCAAGAAATTACTTGCTTTACTTCAGGAAGAAGGAACTGAACTGAGCATGCTGTGACCTTGTCATAACCACAATATAGTCTTCCTCCATTTAACTCAAAAAATGCTGTTGATTTAAAAGAACTCAGAGACTACACTGTAAAACATTTCTGAGTGCTCCCTGCAGTTGCAGGAAGGCTCATGTGTTGCACACAGCACACACAGAAAATATGCAACTCCTTTGATCGTGGTTCAACTTCCAATGACCTTCCTGCCTCCTATGCACAGGCTGTTTCTTTCTGCCCTCTCACCCAGTCTGACTCCATTTTACACTGAACATAGTCAATTAGTCCCAGCAAATTACTGATTTGGGGGATTAAATATTGGCCCATACATTTCTGTGCAACAATTAATGTATTATTTAGGTTAATTAATTAAATAGACCAAGAGCTGCATTAGCAATCAGGCTCTTAACCTATCTAGCAGTCCAGGCACAGAAACAATCCTGAGGAAAGGATGACTGACACAAAAATATTTGATTAAACAGAGAGAATAAATTGGGTGGCTGCTGCTAACACTACTTTGTGTCCAACATCTATCTGTCTACTGAATAATAACATTAGATAATCTCTTCTTTAATCCTAAAACATGTTTACAGCTTTAAGATATATGACTTCTGCAAAAGCTACATTCAAAATGTAAAATAGAAGTCTATCATGAATGCTGTCTATATGATACTGTCAAGCTTTCTACTCCATTGCAATAGGGCTCTTCACTTTTTTTTCCCAGCAAACAAAAAAGTCATTTCTTCAAGAGTGCTGGGATTTAGCCTACATAAATACCTTTCTCATTTTCAATATCGAACTGCTCTTGTTATTTATTTATTCTTTTTTTTCCCTTTTTTTTTTTCTTTTGCTAGAACACAGGAGAAATCTCTGCCTAAGCACCTCTAAGTTAAAGGTAGGCAGAAGGGCTGAGGACAGAAGCATTGTTGGTTGCTGTGCATCCTTTTTTTCTCCAAAACAGGAACCAGTGATCTCTCCATGCAGTCAGGGCAGGGCTTTATCACTGTCCAACTCCCTTCCGAAAGGGGACCACTTTGGCTACCTTTTGCATTTACCTGTGTGCAAAAATTGGCTCCAAGCTTGTGTGAATGCTGTACACGATAAGGCATGTAACCAGTTCCCTTCTGAAAATGTT